AAGGCTAGCAGCTCTCGCTCCTGGCCCAGGAGGAGGGCATGGGGCGGGCAGGCATCCGCAAGGCCGGTTCTTTCTGGGGTTATCCCGGATCCTCTCTGGAGAACTGTGCCTGAGGTATTTAAGGAAAAGCCACCGACTCCCCATAAGCTAATCTCCCAGCCATTCACCCGATTCCCCGTCCCCAGCCCTCTATTCCTCTCACACCCGTGAATGAGTCTTTCGGCCTTTAATAAAATCACGCCAGATGGAGGCAGAAACTGGAGTTAAATAATTCAGGTGGCTGTGCCTTTACTCCACGACCCTTCCCCTTCCTTCTACTTCTCCTCCTTCCTGACTTCAGCCTGGCCCCGGCCAGAAAATTCCAGGCCCTTCAGGCTCGCTGGGGCCCAACACGCCAACCCCTCTCCCCGGATGTCTCACCCCACCACCATGTCTCCCTTCATGGAAAGAAACTTTGCCACAGCACCAAGACTCAAAGGCCTTGGCCCCTTTCTGAAACCCAGGAGTCACTGGGCTGGGAGGAACGTCCTCTGCCCCAGAGCAGGCACTGACTGAGTCATCACTTGTTGCATCCTCCCTCCGGTCTGGGAGATTCTATCAGGCCAGCACGCTGCCCCCCCACTTCAGCTGCCAGGAACCCAAACACCCTTGCTGCAGCACGCCAGTCTCCCAGCTGAGCTTCAGCTAGCAAAAGAGCTCCAAGGACTTCTAGAAGCATCTCACACCAGAGCAGGCAGAGTTCCCCAAAGCCAGTCTAGGACTTTATGAATTTCCTAATGAGGTCCCCGGAGCCGCCAGGAACAGTGCTGGTCTTATGCTGGAGGGGGTGGAGGAAGGTGTGGAGGGTGGGAGCGGGTGGAAGGGGAAACCCCCACCTAACTATTAATATCTTGTACCCTTTCACACTGGAGCATTGTTGTATTTTCAAAACACTCTGTTCCTTGCTGAGTACTGATTTATTTTTGAGTGCCTCCTTTATATAATAAAAAAAAAAAAAAAAAGGAAAACTTTGGAAATAAGTGATTTAGCCTGCAAGGGAAGTGGATTTTTTTAAATATAAGCATTATGACTTATAGAAAACAATATTCAGAGATGAAATATTCAGAGTTTGAAGTTTGCAGGAAAACAGGAAATTTTGGTTGGGGGCCTTGAAAATCTGATTCGTTTGTTTTTGTCCTATAATGAGAAAAACGAAAAAACAGACACACACTCAGAAACATACACGCTACCATGTGCTTCACTGAGAAATGAAAAATTGTGTGTGTGTGTGTGTGTACACCCAGGGAAAGTGTTTTAGACACGGGGTCCAAACACCTGAAGTTGTGGGGTTCAGGAATTCCATTGGATTATGTACACTGCCCACAGGCCCCAATTTCTCATTCTGTCTCTGGTGAGTCCTCTCACCCTCCCCATCTCTGGCCTGTACCCCAGCTCGTGTGGCATAAATAAATAAATCTTTTTTAAAAAGGTCGAAGGCCTGCTGTTTTCCGCTTCAGACAGGGCATGTCTCACACCCAGGCAGTCATCCTGTCCCCACCGCCGCCATCCTAGACTTCTAGTGGAGGCACCCCAGGATTCTCTGCTCTCACCTGCTTTCCACATTGGAGAAGCTCAGGCTTGAACGTCACACTGTCATGCTGCCCCACAAAAAATGCTTCTTCAGACAGACTCCTGCTTTCGGGGAAAGAGGGGTGTCAAGTTATAACAAAGTGTTCACTTGCTCACCTAGTAGGCTCTCAACTCAGCTCTCCCAGAGAACGTCCCCAAGGCCTGGGGTTTGCTCAGCTCACTAGAACTACAGGAATAGGGGGGTGGGGGGCGAGAGGGAGTGGAGGAGGCAGATCCAGAGCTGCCTCTCCTTTCTCATGGTGGGGGAGGGAAGTGGGGAGCAGGGAGAGACAGCTTCGGAGGAAGAGGAGAGGAAGTCTTTGTCCTAGTGCTTTGGATGAGCATTAGAGTGGAGTTAAATTGTCTGCTAATGAGATTTCCTAACCACGTGGTTCTTTTAAGTCTGGGCCCCCAACTGATTTGCTCCCCAGATGACAGCAAGGGACAAAGCTGCCTTCAGCCCTGATGGGCCAAAGAATTCCCAGAAGCAGTGTGGGAAGATAGGAATGGTTGCAGGGAGTGGACCTTTAAACAGGTTTTCACCTTTATTGACTCACAGCTAGCAATAATGCTCCTGACCCCAGAGCTGGCAGGAGTCAACCTCCACTTGGGGAAACTGAGGCAGAATCAGGGGCGCAGAGGCGCTTAGGGAGCATTCCCTGTGGGCTTTGGTGCCTGGTGGACAAATTGAAAATCCTTTCCTAGTTTCTGTTTGTTTGCTTGTTGGTTTGGGCCATTAAAGGCCCCTGGGGTCCACATTCAAAGGCTGTGCCCCTGGGGTCCAATGACCCAGTTCAGTCATTTGCCCCAACAGGCAAAAGGGTGTTGAAAGCATTTTTTTCCATAGCCAAGCCTGAGATGGTCTTTTCTTAATTATTTATCTGATTCTAGGCTGTGGAGGAGCTTTTTCTTGCTTGTTTTTTGTTTTGTTTTTTCCTGTATGAAACTGGCTTCTCTCTTTGCCTACAGAAAAACAGCCACACAGAGCTAGTGGGGCAGAAGAAAAGCACGTCAAACACACTGACAACATCTGAAGATATTCAGTGACATCAACTGTCCTCTTCCACCACCCTGCTCAGCCAACAGCCTCCTCCTTGGGTTTATTTCTCCCCCATTCAAAGATGATGACTTGGTAACTGCTGTGTATTTTACCATGGGGTACCAATGAGCAAATTCTAGAAGCTGGTGATTTACCAAACTTCTGCTTTACAAGACACACAGTTCAAATTTCACCTCTACCAGGAAGTGTTCCTCCCTAGCGCCAGGTATCTCTTTGTTCAAACCTCCCTCCATGCAGACCTTAATCACTCTGCTCAGCAGCCACTGGTTCTCAGCAGCTACTGGCTGCAGCCTCCAAGCCCTGGGACCCCTGGGCCTGGGCCTCAGCATAGCATGGAGGAAGAAGGAAGAAGAAGCAACTCAAATCTAATGGAAATTCAAACACAAAAAGGAGCAGAGAGCGATTAGATAAGTAGAGTTAAACCTGAAACTAAGAAAAGCAAGCCCCTGAAACTAAGAAAAGCAAGCCCTGTCTGAAGCTGAAAACAGCAGTCCTTAGACCTTTTTTTTTTTTTAAGATTTATTTATTTATGCCACAAGGCCAGAGATGGGGGGGGGGGGGTGAGAGGACTCACCAGAGACAGAGTGGGGAGCAGAACAGGCAGCTCAACAGAAACACACTGCTGAGGGGAGCAGCGGGAGAGTCAGGAGAGGTCTGCCGCACCATGTGGGTTGCTCCCTGGCTGCAAAGGCTGCAAATTGCTTCATAGTGCGGTGTTTAACCCCTTGCACCACCAGGGAGGCCCTCAGACCTTTTTAAAATAAAAAGGGAACCTAGGAGAGGGAAGAAAGAAGAGACCAGAAGCCACCTCTGTAATTGATTCTAATAGGGAGACGAAAGGCGTGTTCCTTAGGTGGCAGTCACAGCGCCGAGCAGGTTAGGCCGTCATACAGACCCCCCCACAAATGGGGTTCCTCAGCCCCACTGGACAGATGTGGAAGCTGAGAAGCGGGGATTAAAGCAGCTTGGCCTGGCTCACCCGGCTCGCGAGTGACACCACATTCTGGAACTCGGTTTGGTCTGACCTCAGCACCCAGGTTCTCAATCTCTGCTCCAGTTCAAATAAAATGTGCACCAAGTCAGCACGCGTGGGCACCCGGATCCCCGCCGCCCTGGCTCAAGGATGGCGGACAGGTGCTGCGCGAGCCCGCGTGGGCACCACCTAAGGCGGCACGATGTGGGCAGCGTCCCCAAGGCTCACGCGTGTCCTTCAAGAACTTGCCAGCAGTCAGAGAGAGGCCCGAGTTGACCCGGGGCGAGGCCAGAGAAAGCGACTGAAAGGAGGTGAGATCTGCGCCCCCGACGTCCACCAACCCAGAGGGCGCCTCCGGGTGCCAGGGGCCTGGGGGCGCCGTGCGCCGTGGGCACCGGGCGCGAAGGAGCCGTCTGGGCGTCTTTTCCCTGCTGCCTCCCGCCAGGAGGCCGGAGGAGGGGGCGTCACCTGACAGCGCGCCCCAACTTCTCCCCGCGCGGAGGGGGCGCGCAGCAGCGGCCGCGGCCGGGGAGCACAGCGCGCAGCGCCAGCCCGCCCGTGAGGTGCGTAAACAAAAGCGGGCCCCGCGCGGGTCCCCTGCGGGCGGAGAGCTGCGCCAAGGAGCAGCACCGGAGCAGCTGAGCGCGCGAGAGAGCGCGGAGGGGTCGGCACCCGGAGCGGAGCCCCCGGGCGGCCCCCGGGACCCCACGGAACAGTCATTGTCTGCGCGCCTGCAAAACGCAGCTCCGCGCCCCGCTCCCGGGCCAGCCGCGGCTCTCCCGCCCGGGGTGCCGACCCCCCGGCTCTCTGCCCCGCGCGCCCGGCCCCGAGCTCGGCACGATCGCCCAGGTGAGCGCCCAGCCAGCCTCGCGCCGGACCCAGGCCTGGAGATGCCCAAGTCGGGGACGGAAACGCACAGGCGCGCACGCACGCGGGGACAGACACGCACTCGCGCGCACGCCCCCCCAGAAGTTGATCAGAATCAGCCGACAGATACCAAGTGCCGGCGCCGCCGCGGGTCCCCGCGGTCCAGCCGCGGCCGGGAAGCCCGAGCGCCCGCGCCCGGCCGCTGTCACCCCGCTCGGCGCCGCGCACCTGGGCGCGCCCCGGGCCCCTCCCGCCGCCCCTCCGCGCGAGGCGCGTCTCCGCGGGCCCCCGCCGGCTCCCGCTCCCGAGGGTGCGCACGGGAAGACAATACGGGCCGAGCGCATCGGGGGGAACTAGGACCCGCCGGAGCGCCCTACGCGGGGGGCGCGGGGCAGGGGTGCCCGTCGCGGGCGGCGCGGCCCCGGGCCCCCCGCCGCCGTCCCCCGGGGCGCCCCGGCCCGCGGCCCCGCCCTCCCGGCCCGCGGCACTCACCCGCGACGCGCGTCCCGGCTCCCGCCGCGCGCCGGGCACAATGCGGGCCGGGGCTCCGAGGAGCAGGCGCCGGAGCTCGCGCGCTGCAGAGCTGCGCGCCCGACGGCGGCGGCGCTGCTCCGCCCGGCAGCCCGGCCCGCGCGCGCCAATGGGAGCCGCCGGGGCGCTCGGCCGGCGGCCGCGGGGGCGGGGCCCCGGGCGCCCGTGGGAACCCGCGCCCCGATTGGGCCGCCCGGCGGTCGCTCCGCCTCCGGCCGGCCAACCGCGCGCCGCGGGCACGGGCGCGGGGCGTTCGGAGTTGGAGCGGGTGACAGCGGGCGCCGCCGGGGCTCGCGCCGGGGCGCCGGGGCGCGGGGCGCGCGGGGCGGGGCCGCCCGCCCACCGGCCCCGGCGGCGCGGCCCGGGCGCGAGGGGAGGGCGCGGGCGCGGGCCCGGGGCCGGCGCGGAGCCCCGAACAAAGCGGCCCCCGAGGCCCGGGCGCCCCCGCCCCCTCGCGCCATAGGGCCGCGGCGCTGCCCGTCACCCGCGGCGCGCAGGCGGCCAATGAGCGGGAGGGAGCGCGGGGGGCGCGCGCGCGGCGCGGGTGGGATTGGTCGGGGGCGAAGGGTTTTCCTGCCACCCGGGGCGGAGGGGAGCGGGATCCGGGACGGGGGAGGGGAAGCGCCAAAAAAAAAAAAAAAAAAAAAAGGAAAAAACCCCGGTACCTGCGACACGTGGTCCGGCCGGAGCACGCGCCCGGCCCGCGGGGGCCGGAACTTTGCCGGGGAACAAAACCCCAGCGCGGCCGCGCGCGCGGAGGCCGGGGCGGCCGGAGCGCACCGGCGCCAGGTAGGGCCGGGGCCGCACCTTGCCCGGCGGGAGCACCCGAGGCCTCGGCGTGGGCCCGCGCCTCGCGCTCGGCGGCCGGGCGGAGGGCGTGACTCGGGCGCGGGCGCGCAGCCCGCCCGACCTGGCGCCCAGGGGCGCTGACTGCCGGGCGCCTTTGGAGAAGTGGCCGGGACGCGGCAACCAGGAAGGCGCTTCCCTGCGCCCGACCCGTGCGTCCTCCTGAAGAGCCTGGACTTCACCGTGAAGAGCCAAAGCCGGGGTGAATAATCATCACTCGCCCATTTGCTGGACACGGGCACCCCGAGGGATTAGGAAGGCCTGCGTTCCCGGGGTGACAGGGTGGGAAGTAAAAGGGACTGCTTGGGTCTTGGAGGGTGAAATGGAAAACTGAAAGTCCTCCTTGACCTCTCCCGCCTCTGCTCGCCTCTATTATTACCCACCTCCCAATCCATGCCCTTCTGATCCTGGCTCAGCAGACCACATCAGAGCCTCCCAGCCTCTCTCTACCCCCGACCTTGCCTCCTGAAATAGTTTCCACTTTGCAGAAACATCCTTCTCAACAGAAGACGCTCCCCCTGCTCCCTCACTTCTGGTCTCCTTCCCTTTGCCTGGAACACCCCGACCCCCACATTTTCCCTTCCCCTGGACAGTTCCTACCCATTGTCCATAGGGGCTTCCCGACCATGCCTTGATGGACTTTGCTGAAGTCCAACTGTGCAGCAGGCAGTGCAGACTTTGGAAACCTGCTGTCACTATCCAAGGTTAAGACCCCGTGCCACCCCCCCCCCCCCCCCCCGTGCACCCACTGCCCCTCTCCCATCACCCAGGACTGGCATCTGTGCCCTTCTCCAAAGACACAAGCTCCACTCATCCAAAATCTTTATCTTTGCTTTATCCCAGTGCCCAGCACAGTACTTGGCAATTTGGAGCACTCAAGAATACTTCAGCTGACCCAGCCTTGGGGTACATGTCTTGACCTGGGAAGCCTGAGCAGCTACTGCAGGCTCTGGTCTGCTGTCCCTGGTCTTCACTCCTGGGTCAAGAGAACAGGCGTTTGATTACAACACAGACAAATGCCATCTGGCCGGGCACTGGTGTCCCATATCCTTGGGGCACTGCTGACATCTGCAGAGAACACAGCCCTGGTGTTGAAAAAAGAACTGGGGTGATCAGAGGCAGAATTCAGTATTTCAGATAGAAGAGCAGAAATTACATTTCTTTTTTTTTTTTTTAAAGATTTATTTATTTATTCATACAATCACTGGGTACAGTCAGAAGCGCGGGAGGGTGACAGAACTCACCAGAGCCAGAGCGGGGAGCTGAGCAGGCAGGCTGACTGACGAAGTACGCTGCTGAGGGGAGCAGCGGGCGGCAGGGGAGGTCTGGGCACCACGTGGGACCTTCGCCCCGCGGCCGGGGATTGAACCGGCGTTGCAGAGGCTGCAGGCAGCCTCGCAACCCAGCGCTCAACCGCTGCACCACCAGGGAGGCCCAGAAATTACATTTCTAGTACATGACCTCAAGTTCAATTACAAATCAATGCTTTCTTCCCCACTACTCACTGAAAGTCTCCTGAATCCAGTCTTCACTAAGTCAGCGCCAGCAGCCCTCCCCCACAAGCCTGCACTTAGGGATCAGCCTGCAGCCCCTCCCCAATTCCCTCGCCTCTGCTCCTGGCCAGGTCTGGTCTTCCATTAGAACAGACGCTCGCTGAGGGCAGGTGTGCTCCACCGCTGGGACCCTCATGCCTGGTACATAGTAAATGCTCAATGCACATTGACGAAATGACTGCATTTAGCCTCTTCCCCTCCATAAGGCACCTCTCTTCTGTCACCTATTTCTGGATGCCCTCTTTTAAGAAAGGACGGGCAGAGGGCACAGCACTGGAGCTTTATCTCCAGTGATGAGTGCTGAGGTCATGGCCCTCCGGAGCTTACACTGCATGTGTCCAGTAAATACCTGCTGCAGCAGCACTTCCCGGCGGAGTGATCATTGGCTGAGGAAACTTTCTGGAGAGAGAGGAGGGCACTTTTTCCAAAGCACCTGCTGATGAGTGTGCTCGGAATGATCCTCACTCTCCTGCTGAGACCCCTCAACACTGTTAAGCCCCCATGATTGACAGTCTGGGCTAAAATCTAGAATGAGAAAGTAATAGTTAGTCACTTCTCAATGGCAGGGACCTATCTTTTACCCTTTCTCCTAGCTTTTCACTAACTACCCTCTAAGTCACTGCTCAATACCAGGTTCCTCACCATCAGCCTAGGGAAAGTGGGTTCACCTGGCCTTTGGGGTGAGCAGTCCCGGATGATTCTCTTCAGGGAGGCACACCTCTGCTGTGCATGCTGAGGAACCACGGGGAGACCCCTAACCTGGGCAGGACGTTTCCAAGAGCCTGTCCTGTCCCGCCCCGCCCCACCCTGAGCCTTCAGCCCCACCCCCATGCACAGGCCCGCGGGCACACTACCTCCAGCCGCTGGACTGGAAAGGGACCTAAAGGTGACGAGCTCTGGTTTAATGTGAGGGACATTATTTCATTGAAAGTGGTTTGGTTTTTAAAGTACCTTATAGGATAATAGAGAAATGCAGAGAAAGGGAGGGAGTGGAGGGCAGAAAAAGAGGAAGAAAGGAAAGAGGAAGCAGAAGAAGGGAGGGGGGAAGGGAAGGAGAGACAGGAGGGGCGAGGAGGGACGAGGGAAAGAGAAGGGGAGCGGCGTGGAAGAAACAGGAAGGAGGAAAATGCGGAGACACAGTTCAGCGTCTCCCACCCCACCCGCATTCCCACGGGGACCTTCACCTGCCCCCCTCATCTGCTGCGCCATCTTGTTTCCAGTCCTGCTCGCTGCCCACCCTCCCCACAGCCGGGGCCAGTGTCGGGGACTGAGGACCCGCGCGGTCCCACAGGGGCCTGAGCTCAGGGCTCCACACTGGGTTTCATGCTCTGCTATTGCTGCCTTGAAAATCCTCATTTTTCAATGAGAAGCCCCCATTTTAATGTTCTCTAGGCCCCACAAATTACAGAGACTGTCCTTCCCACACCCTTTCCACTCGAGGTGAGTCTCATCCTTGGGCCTCCTTAATCAAATTAACAAAAAGAAGAAGGGATTCAGTGTTAGGTAGACGGGGCCGGTGCCGCAAAGAACACTCAACGGACGCCTGGTTCATCCCAGTGGACTCACCCTCATCCTGTGATGGTTCATTGTAGGCCTCAATGTGACTGAGCCATGGGGTCTCCAGGCCACCGGTCATTATCCTGGTGTGACTATGAGGGCGTTTCAGATGACAGTGCCAGAGTAAAGCGGATTCCCCTCCCCCATGTGGTGGGCCTTGTTCAATCAGTTGAAGACCTGAATAGAACCAAAAGGCTGAGCTTCCTGTAAGTAACAGGGAAGGCCTCCTGTCTGACCCCTTGCACTGGAACATTGGTCTTTTCCTGCCCTTGGACTCAGACTGAGACCTCTGCTGTCTTGAGTGGTTGCTATTTGCAACACAAAAGCCTAACTCATCATCAACCCATGTGTCCTATTAGAGACTGGTATCGGTGTAGCCATATCTTGTACTGGTTTGTCTCTTTGGGCATCCCTGGCTAGCTCACATTCCAATACTGTTCCCCACTCTGCGTCCCTCTACAGCCTGGCCACTCAGCAGGGGTCCACGGTTCTGTGGCAACATCACCACCGAGTGCCGCAAGGGCAGTCTCAGGCCTCACAACAGACAGACTGAACCTTAATCTACATCTTCATAAAATCCTCTCTAGGGCCTCCCTGGTGGCACAAGGGGTTAAGCATCGCACTATGAAGCAATCCGCAGCCTCTGCAGCACAAGTTCGATCCCTGGCTGGCCAGGGAGCTACCCACATGGCGTGGCAGACCTCTCCTGTCTCCCCCGCTGCTCCCCTCAGCAGTGTGTTTCAGTCCATCTGCCTGTTCTGTTCCCCACTCTGTCTCTGGTGAATCCTCTCACCCCCCCATCTCTGGCCTGTACCCCAGCTCTTGTATGCATAAATAAATAAATCATTAAAAAAAATCCTCTCTGAATATGCAAAGCCACCTGGGAGCAAGGACAATGTGCAACGCAACTGCTCAGTAACAGAAATCTAACCAGCACTGTGTTACAGGAGGACAGATGTTGGAAGGGGGGATGGAAGAGGGTCCAAGGGAATTCAAGAAGTCAGGGCATTTTCACATAAACCTTCGACTGTGGAACAAAAAACAAGGGAGCCTCCAGACCCAGACGAACATGCCCCTCTGGTCCACAGAAGCTCAAGGTCAGAGGGGGGAGCCCACAAACTGGCTGCTTCCCCGAGGAACCTAACACGTCCCCCTCCTTGCTGTGTGCTCAGTCGCGTTTTATTTCCTGTGTTTTCACTGAAATGGCAGTTTGTGGAGAAACTCTCCCACTTGGCTGCGAATGGGCTCCGAGCCGCAGCAACACTTCTGCGGAGTTGGCAGGGACAGCACTGTGGAATATTTCAGAAACTCAAGGCAAGGGGACAAACAAACAACCAACATAAAAATAAAACCCTCGCAAAATGTACTTTTGGAGAAAGAGACAAAGAGCAACAGCCAGCCCGCATCACGGGTCTCCCCCGTCCTTCCTGCTCTTGCTGTCCCAGCCTGATCATTAATTCGACTCTATGGGAATGAACACACGATCCCTTTGAAATGAACCGCAACTCCCACGCAGTCGTGGTCTCCAGATGACAACCAGATCGCAGCCCCTTCAGCACACACGATGTTGGCGTTGACAGCTCCCGCCGGCCCCTCCCTTCCCAGCCCTCCAGCACCTGGGCAAGGTGTGACCGAAGGAAGGTGCCAAGCAGGTGCTTGCAGCTCCAGCTGCCTCCTAACACACGTTTATTTTCTACTCTACACGTGTTCTCTCCCCAGCAGAACCGAAGGTATGGAAAAGACTGGAAGGTGGCCATTGTGGCTCAGCAACAGGATCACTAGGCATAAAGAAGTTGTTCTTCTGGGAAGCACGCTAGGGACTTGGAGCCACAGAAACCAACCTCTCTTAGAAAAAGCTGACACCCCCTTGTGCTCTCTGTGCATCTGGAGACTTGCACACACACACACACACACACCCCACAGTAGTTATAGGCACAGAGGCCAATCCTTAAAAGCAAAGGCTTTGCCCTGAGTCAAGTCCTGCCTCTGTTCCTTACCAGCTGTGTGACTTTGGGCAAAGTATTTAACCTCTCTGTGCTTAACCGCCCTGGAGCCATCTCAGGCTGTTGAAACAGAATACTACAGACTACGAGGCTTAAATATTTGTTTTAACTTAAAATAAAGAAATTAATTTTCTTGCAGCTCTGGAGACCACAGATTGAAGATTCAGGTATCTCTGAGGTTGGCCTTGGGGGAGACCTGTGCTTCTGGCTTGCAGACAGCTGCCTCCTGGCTGTGTTCCCACGGGGGCCCACAGGGAGAGGGAGAGCTCTGGGGTTTCTTCCTCTTCTTATAAGGAAGCCAGTCCTATTGGGTTAAGTCCCACCCTTAGGATTTCACCTTAACTACCTCCTCAAAAGCCCATCTCTAATTAGTCACACTGGGGTCAGGGCTTCAACATACAGATTTTGGGGGGTGCTGTTCTATCTATCATAGCATTCCTCTCCGTAAAACAAGGTTCATCAGCATCCATCACTCGGGGCTGTTATGCGCATTGAATGACTTGATAGAACTAAGAATAGTACTTGGCTCACATCAGAGGTGCGGCTCCCTGGCTCATCCCAAAGCGAGACTTGTTTTTGAAAAGCCCACGAGGCACCTCTCCCCAGATACCTGAAAGTTGTGAGCCTTTGCAAGCCCCTAATCTCATCCTATCTACTCCACCATCTTCCCCAAACAACAACAAGCAAATCCCTTCTCTTGTTTCCAAGGTCACTTTCTGGTCTTGCCCCTAAGCATAGAGCAAAGGCCATTTATTTCTCCCAGCACCGAGGACCCACCGGCTTTTCTGCTTCCCCCAGCATCCCCAAACTCATCCCCCTCCGCATCCACACAGAATGACCAAGACAGCTCCCCAAACACAAGGATCTCTGCTGGACCCTCCGCCGGGAAGTCCTCTTCCTGGCCAAGCTCTCTGTGCACTGTGACCTGCTCACCATTTCACCATTTAAGGTCAGGCATGACAGTCACCTCCTTTGGGGGGCCCTCTTCTTCCTCGTGGTTCCTGATCCCCTACGCGTGAACCATTCCATTACACAGTTCCTAATTCAACTTTTCATTTAATATGCACATCAGCTTTCCAAAGGATGTTCTCTAATCTCCATTTAAAAGATAAGGGCATGGAGTAATTGGCCCAAGGTCACAGAGAGAATGAGTCATTCTTCCAGAAGAGTTTGTTAATTTCCTCATCTTGGCCTCCCAGCCTCCCAAACAGAATCTACCCCTCCATTTTCAGAGCTGGCACCCACATGCCCATGCCTGACACTGGTCACATTGCATTAGCGGGAACTGGGGCGCTGACTGTCCCTCAGATAGCTCTCCATCTTCAGCTTCCCAGGGCCCATGCAGGGGAGGGATAGCGCTGCAGGAATTTCACCGGAATGCTTCATTTCTTATCCTGAGCCCATCGTCCTACCTCCGCAGGGCTGGCATGTTCAGCGTGTCCAGAACGGTGGTCTTTACCACTCTTTCCTGGAACGTAAAGAATGTACGATGATTAGGTACATGCCTTGCTTTAACAAGCATGGAAACCCCTGTGGTGCAGGGGATGGAGGAAGGAGAGACAGGCATGGACAGCGGAGCCCTGGCTGCTCCAGCCTCCCAGGGTGCATGGTAAGCAGAGGGGGAAGTGAGAGCACTAGTCCAGTGTCCACACTGGAACCCAAGGGGCTCTGTTGAAGCTGCTGCTAAATCACAACATAGTGGTTGGGGGCTTTGGGGGTGAGGAGCCCAAAAGCAGAAGGTGCAGGGGACCCAATGGACTCTGGTGGAGGATTATTGGGGATTTGGTGGTCCTGACATACACTTGTAAAGGTGTGAACCTGTACCCCAACTCATATACAGTGTTGTCAAGCAACACTGTGTCAATAAAAAAGTAAAACAATTAAAAAAATCGCAGCGGCAGCGTCCGTATTTGTTGGCTAGGGTCTCCATAATAAAGTGCCACAGACTGGGTGGCTGAAACGATGGAAATTTACTGTCTCACATTTTCTGGAGGCTGGAAGGCCAAGGTCAAGGTGTCAGCAGGTTTGGTTTTTCCAGAGGCCTCTGTCCTTGGCTGGCAGATGGCATGTTCTCCCTGGCTGCCACGTGAGCTTCCCTCAGCCTGTGCACCCTCTCTGTCCTAATCTCCTCTTCCTATAAGGACACCTATCATATTGGATTTCAATGTAACCATTTCAATGTAACCACCCATTTCAATGTAACCACCTCTTTAAAGATCCTCTCTCCAGTCACTTTCAGAAGTGCTTGTGCTTAGGACTTCAACAGAATTTTGGAGGGCAGGGGAGCACAATTCAGCTCATAACACCACCACCCCACCTTGCTTTCCATACCGTAAAGAATAAATTCATAGCAGCTGAGTATCTGGACCAACATAGCCACCCATTCCCAACCCCTTCAGATGGCTGGTCTTAGCTGATTACCTGCTGGGCTGAATTCTCTGGTTGGTTAGCGGAGGGTCACTGGCAAAGTGTCCTCTCTCCTCAGAAATATTTCTTCTCTTCCTTTTGGAAAGAAGTGGGGGAAATGCATTGTTGAGATTTCTAAGCATTTCTCTGCAAAGCCTGAATGTAAAGGAGAATAATGCTGATGGAGCTTCGATAGGAAAAAGAAAGGTGCTGGGGTGCCCCGGGAGGCTGCCTGTCCTCGGCTTGGAAAGGAGCCCTTTCTCAGGGCACCCCATGTCTTCTGCGTGAGTCCAGCCTGTGACAGCCCCGTGGGCAGGAGTGGTGCTCAGGACTGCGTAACTCACAGCCCTAAGTATTTAAGTTGATTTTGTTCTTTTGCATTTTCCTTCTGACCCAAGTGTTGTTTCTATGTTCTAATATTAATAAACAAAAACAGGGTCTCCCTGGTGGCACAAGGGCTTAAGCACTGCACTGATTATGAAGCAATCCTCAGCCTCTGCAGCACAAGTTCGATCCCCCGCCAGCCAGGGAGCAACCCACATGGCGCAGCAGACCTCTACTGTCTCCCTGCTGCTCCCCTCAGCAGTATATTTCAGTCAGTCTGCCTGTTCTGTTCCCCACTCTGTTTTTGGTGAATCCTTCCACCCCCCACATCTCTGGCCTGTACCCCAGCTCTTGTGTGCATAAATAAATAAATCCTTAAAAAAAACAAAACAAAACACGTGTGATACTTTAGAAGCAACATTCCAGGCTCTTAGAGACCCTGTTTACTGGAAATTATTTTCCTTTCTTCCTTTTTTTTTTTTTTTGCAAGTGATTTTCAAAAATGATCAGTTAAGCCTCAATTTTCTTTCTTCCTTTTTTTTTAAAGATTGATTGATTGATTTATACAAGCACTGGGTACAGTCAGAAGCGCAGGAGGGTGAGAGAATTCACCAGAGCCAGAGCGGGGAACAGAACAGGCAGACTGATGAAATACACTGCTGAGGGGAGCAGCGGGCGGCAGGAGGGGTCTGTGCGCCATGTGGGACCCTCGCCTGGAGGCCGGGAATCGAACCGGCGCTGCAGAGGCTGCGGGCAGCTTCGCAGCCCAGCGCTCAACCGCTGCGCCACCAGGGGAGGCCCAAGCCTCAATTTTCAAACACATAATTGGTAACTGAAAAATATTCTGCCTGCGACTACCCAGACATTTTCCATCTTGTGGTTGCTTATCACATAGATTATTTCCTCAGCCAGCTGATGGAACCATCAAAGGTTAGCAATTATTTTCCCACATTTGCCCTTCCAAGAGGCTTCCTGGCTGGAAATAAAGAGTTTGGACGTTATGGTCATTCATGTCTAGTAACCAGCTAACAAAACACAAAATAATCCCTCCTGCTTAAAAAAAAAAAATTGTGTTTCGTGTCATAAACACTGGCTTGATCCTAAAGAGAGCATGTGTACAAAGTAGGAAAGACAGGTGCTTGGCCGACATGGGCCACTTGGAACAAAATACTCGAGCACAGGACAAGATGCTACCGTGACCATCTGATAAATATTTTTAAAATAAGATGATAGTTTCTTAAGTGAATTTTGCTTCTACTTGACCTGCCTGCCACATTCGTTTCCTATTGCTGCAGCCATCAATTATCACAAACTTAGAGAAACAACCCAAACTGGTCATCTTAGAATTCTGGAGCTCAGAAATCTGAAATGGGCCTCATGGGTTAAAATCGGGGTGTCTGCTGTGCTGCTTTCCAAGGAGAATCTGTTTTCTTCCCTTCCCTAGCTTCCGGGGGTGGCCTGCATTCCGAGACTCCCAGATCCCTTGTCTTCAAGCCGGCACTGGCTTGCCGTGTCGCTCTGGCATGGGACCCTGTCCTCGTCGTCCACTGTGAGAGACCCCTGTGACTGCCTTGTGCCCGCCTGGGTCATCCAGGGTAAGCTGCCCATTTCAGTCAATTGATTAGCTGACTTAAATCCATAGGCAGTCTCCATTACTCCTTGACATGGGCCCCAACATATCCAGAAATTCTAGGGATTGGAACATGGACATCTTTGGGGGCTATTATTCTTCCCACCACACCTGCTTTGTGGCAATTAGTGAAAATAAGGTGAGTGATGGCTTTATTTTTCTTTTATTGATTATCCTTTCAGAATCATTAGATTTTATTTTTCCCCATGAGTCTTAAAACTTAGTTTCACTTCTACAATGACACTGCTTTGTTATTTTTTTTTTAGAGGGTGTGTGTGTGTGTGTGTGTGTGTGTGTGTAGAAGAAATGGTGTGTAGGCCAGAGGTATGGAGTGTAAGAGGATTCCCCAGAGAGAGAGTGGGGAGCAGAACAGGCAGATCTACTGAAATACACTGCTGAGGGGAGCAGCGGGCGAGACAGGAGAGGTCTGCTGTGCCATGTGGGTCAGCTCCCTGGCCAGGGATCGAACTCAGGCCATAGGGGTGATAGTGCTGAGACATAGATCTGAGGCGACCAGAGAGGCCCTGCAATGACACTCTCCCAGGCTCTATCCCTTTCTGAAAAGAGACAGAACTGATCAAATACCATGGCTTTGGATGACCTTCCCAACCACTTACAGAATCATACCCTCTTAGACTGTGACTAGACTCAAAACCGTCCAGACACAGGTTATCATAATCAAAATACAGGTACCATTTTTTCCCTTCCCCTGATAAATACACATCCCTCTTTCCCCAAAGGGTGTTAATTGCTAAGAGATGTTTAAGTATCATCCTTTCCAAGAAGCCTGTCTACCAGTTGTATGAAGGGTTTCATTTTTCAAGAAACAATTTCATAAATATTTGGAGGGGAGTGTTCTCAGTCATGGCCAAATGAACCTATTTTACTCTACACCTGATTTAGCTTTGCGTTCATCAATACTTCCTACTTGTATCCGTCAAACTCATCATTAAAACCCCTTACAGGGCCTCCCCGGTGGCGCAGTGGTTGAGCGCTGGGTTGCGAAGCTGCCCGCAGCCTCTGCGGCGCCGGTTCGATCCCTGGCTGCTCCCCGGCCACCGGAGGAGGGTCCCACATGGCACGCAGACCTCTCCTGCCGCCCGCTGCTCCCCTCAGCAGTGTACTTCGGTCCTTCTGCCTGCTCTGCTCCCTGCTCTGGCTCTGGTGAATTCTCTCACCCTCCCGCGCTTCTGACTGTACCCAGTGCTTGTATAAATAAATAAATAAATCTTAAAAAAAATAAAAAGGAAAGTTTTAAAAAATAAAAATAAATAAAACCCCATACAGTTTCCATTTCAGCTGGAGAGGAGGGAGGGAGGGGGAGGAGAGCTGTCTGTTCCGCAGTTGGAGAGTCTGACCAGGGTAGATGTCCACTGTTAAAGTCCTTGGGTGGAAAATGACAAATGCTCCTTCTCTTTGTCCTGATCATGAAAACGTTTATAGGCCAAGACCAGAAAATTCTAGCTCTGGAATGAGAATATCTGCCAATACTGTTTCAAGTACATACAGAATTTCAGTGACTCTCCTTTCTTTCCCTACGTTGGGGCTCACAGATGCCAGAGACACTAACAAGAAATGGTAGTGAGCAGAGGTGAAGAGGAAACAGCACTGGGAAGAGATGTGGCATCTGTCATTTTGATGTCAGTGAACATTTCTCTCCCCACCTTAGATCCACAAAAGTAGCAGAGGGAGAGCATCGTTTTCATTCTTATCTGCCCAGGCCCTCTCTCCTATTATGGCCACCCCACTTTTATTATCACAATTCATAAAATGAATAGCCCTGAGATGTGCAGTAAAATGAACCCATCAAAGTGAGGTTGTTCAGATTTAGATAAAGGCAGGCTCAGCTAAGCAGCTCGGATTCACACAGCCGTTTGAACAGGCAGCACGGCCAGAGCCTCCAAGCACCGCCCTTCCTCCCTGGATCTTTTTGTTTAGATCATGTCTATCAACGCTCAAGTTGCTTCAAAGGACGGGGTACTGTCGGGAACCCAGACACCTCACACAGGTGAGACAACCTGGCCCAGGTCTAGGTCTCCAGTCTTACTCTGGGATGGTGGAATATTGTCCTACCAGTTGTAGTGACCAGGACAGCAAACGTGCTCAGCCCTGTTGCTTGAAGCAAGAGGCACTTCGTTTGTTAAACAAGCATTACAGAAGCTTCCTCTACAGTCCTTCCCTGCCTGCTTTGGTAGGCTGTGTGCTTATATATTTATTTATTTTAAAGATTTATTTTATTTATTTATGCATACAAGATCTGGAGTGCAGGCCAGAGGTGTGGGGGGTGGTGGTGAAAGGATTCACCAGAGACAGAGTGGGGAGCAGAACAGGCAGATCTACTGAAATATGCTGCTGAGGGGAGCAGCTGGAAAGACAGGAGAGGTCTGCTGTGCCATGTGGGTCAGCTCCCTGGCCAAGGATCAAACTTGTGCTGCAGTGGCTGCTGATAGCTTCACAGTGCTGATACTTAACCCCTTGCACCACCAGGGAGGCCCAAGTTGGGTGCTTTTACTAGGGGGGCTTTTCCCAGTTATATCTTTTAAAGAAAATCCACCATCTGAAGAGGAAAATGTCCCCACCACAGATGGCTACTATCAGAGGTTGGCCTTGCTCGTTAAAATACACTTATTGGGACTCAGAAGGGAGGCAGAGGAGCCAAGCATCACAGATGGTGTCCAGGGCAGGAAGCAGAGGTGGGAGATTTGCTTGAAGGGAGCTCCCTTGCGTTCAAGGGTGCTGGGGAAGGGAGAAGTGGGCTTCAGTGGAGACCTCAGACTATCATGGGGACAATGCTGGTCCTTCAGGATGAGGGGACTTCAGGGGATGCCAGATGCCATGAGAAAGTGTGAGTTTGGAGGCCAAACAACTCTTTTGAGTAGAACTGTTTACCAAAGAAGCTGGGAGCTGTGAACAACCTTCCAGCTACTGGGGGAAAAAGGAGTGTTCTCCCATCCTGAGGGGAAAGTCAGGGCCTACATGAGCTTCTGCTTGCATGAGCAAGCCATTTCTCAGTGAAGGGGGGTGCCTGCCCAGCCTGGAGGGACCCCTGGGAAGTGACCTCTCTCCTGGATCTACTACCTTCCTGGTCCTTCTCCAATCTTCTCTCTCAAAGGAGGCAGTCTCGCTGCATCAGGTCCACCAATCTTGTATGGTTCTGCCCTCAGTGTTTTGAGAATTTGTTGCCAGTGTTCCAAAAATTGGGAGACTTGCCCCAAATCTCAGGTTTCTGGATTTTTTTCTTGCAAAAAAAAGAAAGCAGATCTAGTTACACTGAGCCTGAATCCCTTCAAGACCACTCAGGTGCAAAGAGCCCAATAGGCCTCCAGCCTCCCAAGCCCCTGTTTGGGAAACTGCTAGATTTTGAATAATACTCAGCTATTTGAACACAGCTTCTAAGTTCTCTTTTGTTCTCAATGTTAACAAATCAGATAACCTTTTATTAAACCCCAAATAAATGAATCTCTCCATTACACATACTTTGCTATGCAGTGAATATGAATTTGAAAATGAAAAGGGAAAAAAATCAAATCCAAAGCAACACATCCCACCCGGGACAATCACCGAGTAATTGGTGTTGGTGGATGTGAGTAACACTTTCATTCCTGAAGAAATTGATGTCGGTGACATTTGTGACATGTTACAGGGTAATAGCGAGTCAGTTATGGATTGAAGTCCTTAATGGGAACCAACTGCAAGGAATGCCATTTAAAAATAATTACTCTTTTGCTAGAGAGCACAAACCCAAGTTATGCAAATTAGGTGGCAAGTAGGAGTTTTGATGCATGTCCTGGAGATTTGTATTGAAATGTGACTTATTCTGAATATTAGAGTCAATTTGATTCAAACTCATGAGCCACCGTTGGTGCAAAGCCAACAGCTTTCTATACACAGTGAGGAAGTTTAACCATTAAACTGGCTCCCCAGAAGAAGTGAGTATTGTGGGGGTGCGCTCAGTAGTCCTCACTCTTTCTTCCTTGATAATGGAGCAAGGATTTTGTTCAGGTGGAACTGATCCAACCCTGGAGATCCTGTCATGCATCACTTCCCATTTTGGTGGCTATTTACATTCCCAGCTTCCCTTGCAGCTACATTGGCCAAGAGTGTTAGTCTCTTTACTGATACTTTAGGAAAACTGCTGAGGTGCTTCTGAAAAAGACAACTTGTTTCCAGATAAAAAGAGACAGGCTTTCCATGAGTCATTCAATTTAGCTGAGCTTTAAAGATTTTTTATTTTTATTTATTTATGCATACAAGAACTGGAGTGTAGGTCAGAGGTGCAGGAGGTGAGAGGATTCACCAGAGATAGAGTCAGGAGCAGAACAGGTGGATCTACTAAAATATACTGCTGAGGGGAGTAGCAGGCAAGACATGAGAGGTCTGATGCACCATGTAGGTCAGCTCCCTGGCTGGGAATCAAACTCATGTCACAGTGGCTGGCGATAGATAGCTTGCTAGCACTGAGACTTTAACCCCTGAGCCACCAGGGAGGCCCTTATCTGAACTTTAATAGATTTATCTGTGAAACAGCTGCCTTAAACTTTCTATAAGGGGAATATTTTGGGTGCTACTACACAGCACCCCACACTCTGAGACCTGCTCCCACCCATGGCCTGGCCACCCATGCATGCACTGCATGTGCTAGTGGACAGGTTACTGGATTAATGGGGGATGAAGCATTACATTGGTCACTCAGAGGTCACGTGCATGCTCTTTCTGGAGAAAAAACAACCAGGCAATCAGACATAGAAAATGTCACCTTATGGTAGGTGCCGGCTCTACACAGCACTCATGCCAGGCTGGGGCAGTCCTATGTCCCACAGAGCACATGAAGAGCCATCACAGGAGAGCAGTCTGTGGAGGGAAGCTGGGCTGGGAGCCGCTGAGACACAGACACAAGGCTGGAACCATGCCTCTCCCCAGCCACCAGACACGGAGTCTCTGCCTGGCTTCCCCTAAGTTTCAAAAAAATGTCTTTGACTCCTTAAACTTATCTCCTTTCACATGTACTCACTCATCAGCTGTCTGATCCTTTCAGCTAAAAGGCCTGGACCAGCCCAGGCTCACACAGAGAGATGGAGCCTGGTGGGCAGCTAGAAGGGAGTCGACCCAAATCACTTCCACCGCCCCCGGGGCATCTGTAGAATACACGAGTGTGCAGGTGGGCTCAGCCTGGGCAGCTGCTTGGGTGTGGAAAAGCGAGGGATGGAGGGAGATGGTTAGAGCGAGATGAAGCCCTGAGGCTGACACGAGCGAAGCATGGAAGGGAAGTCAAGAAAAGGTTGCGCAGTCGCCTAGTGTTGCCATGTCTGTCTGTCTGCTCCACGCACAGCCCCTCCTCCTTCACCTCGGGGGTCCCTCTCTGAGAATCCATCCCCGGCATTTATTTATTTTTTCATTATAAAACACCTATTATTTTCTTTTTTTAATTTATATCTTTTACGTCACTGTATATTCCCCATAAAAGTCCCACCACCGGTTCACTCTGAGCCGTCACCACAGTCCCTGGTGATCTTCTCTCCCAGTCTGATCCCTCCCTGTCCCTTGCAGAATGTCTCTTACTTATGGTTTCCCGCTAGTTTTGTTTCTTTATTATGATTATTATTATGGCTATTTTTCATTCCTGATCCCTTCTTTGGTTCCCCTACATTCCTCCTATAAGTGAAACGATTCTATAGTTGTCTTTTTCCCTCTGGCTTATTTCACTGAGCTTGATCCCTCATCCCCCGCATTTAACCAGAGGTCCTTCCACCCACACCACCACGTGGGTGGCCACTTGACCCACCCCAGGCAATCAGTGTTCACGCCACTGTCCAGGCCATGGTGAATGGCTGAGGGGTGGAGCAGCCCTCACCTCCTGCTCTGGTTTTGCCGGGCACCCTGGAAGAACGACATTTTCTCTAGGTCACAAGTCATGAAGACAGTGTACGCCAAACCTGTCAGGGACGATTGTCACCTCCATGTTGGGAGGTCTGGACAGAGAAAAGGCCTAAAGGAAAGCAGGAATCACAAAGGAGGGGCTGGGAAAGGAGTCTCCATGCTGGGGGGATGCCTGAATCCAGCTCTACCTGCAGCAGCGCCCCCCTGGGCTTCCATTCTCAGCTATAAGGCACTGATACGTCTCCCATTTTCCTTGCAGTGGTTTGAATTGAGTGTGTCTTACTTGTATCCAAAGAAATCTTGACAAAGGTAGAGAAGAAAGGTGGGCGTAGGGTTGGACAGGATGAGTGTCTGCTGGACCCCAGAAGCCAGGCGGGAGAGTCTGCCTTCTTTTGACAGGTGAGTCCTTTCTGGAAGTTGGTGAGAAGCGCTGTATCTGTCCTCAGTCCCAGTTCTTCCCCTGATGCCCTTTCTTGTAACTGTAAGAAGAGGCCAGGAGCCATTAGTAGAATACTTTTAGACAAAAGCAGCAATTAGTTTTAGAAAGTGATGCTTTGATTATCACTGGCAACGTGTGCCCTTGCTGCTTTCTGCTGTGTTCTCTGCCCCCTCCCCTGAACACCCAGATACCAACGGGACAGCGCAGGGATGCCCAGAGCAGACCTACAGCAGCCGGCATCATTGCGAAAGCACAATTTATAGCTGACCATTGTCCAAACCGTGAACATTTGCTAAAGTGTAGAAGCACTTGCCAAAATTAAAAGCACAGAAGGAACTAAGGACATGGAGAGAACATGAGTCCTGTGATTTGTAAAACTGGGCTGGAGGAAGGTCATAAATCCATGGGTAGAGGAGAAAAGAGAAAATGAAAGGGAGGAGGAAGAGGGAAGATGCAGAGAAGTGGTGAGAGATAAGGGAGAAGAGAAGCAGCAGAGGTGGAAGGCAAGAGAAAAAGGAGGGACATGTAGGGAAATTTTAGACCAAGGCCACGCCCCCTCTGGGTCTCTGTTTCCCCAGGAGACATCATTTGTGGGACTCAGTGTGCTGCTCAGCTCATTAAGAATTCCAGGAGGGCACCAGCAGCGCATAAAGCCTTCGTTGGGCTCCGTGCCATTGTGTAGATGGCAAGCCAGGGAGCAGCCCTGGGTGCAGGAGAAGATGCGCTAGGATTTCCAAGGGCTGTTCTCGAAGCCTCAGATGTTCCCAGAACAAAAAATTCCTCCATCTCATAAATGGGAGGCAGGCCGCCAGACCCCTTCTTTTCTGAGATAGTCACAACGCATGTGTCAATCCACTATGAGACTAGCTCTGTGGAAAACAGCATTTCTCAAATTCATTTCACCACGGAAACATTTTCCCCCTGATTCCACATATTAACAGCCCACAGGAGCTGTGATGCAAAGTGCTGGGAGTAGGTGGTTTTGTGGTTCCTCCCTAGACTTGAGATCATTTCTCAGTGTAGACAAGGATTGAATCATTATGTCCTACACCTGAAACCACTATCTTGTTACGTATCAATTATACCGCAATTACAACAGGAAAACAGGATCTGCTCTACTTGGCCAGGCTGGGGACAGCAACTTCTCTATGCCAGATTAAATGGGGGAGGGAGGAGCAGAAGGGTGAGGGCCCTGGAGATGACTGTGAAACCTGTAAGGGGATGGCAGAGATGAGACTCGACTCCCCTAATCTCCCCAGTGCTCAAGAACACAAAAAACTTTGCTTTAATCTAACCATAGTCCAAATGTTTCCTCCTCAGGAATGCCTAACCTCCCCAGAAATTTCTCAGAGGGGGCTCTGATACCACATATAGGACAGGGACTCCTTGGTGATGGCCAAGAAATACAATGTTTGTAGAAACCTTACCCTCTCAGATAATTGTATCCCAATGTAACGCATTTAGGGAGAATTTATGCCCAAGAGTTCTCAATATTGCAGCACCTATGATTGGAACCCAGAGATTTCTTATATTTCCATTATCTCTGATAAAGACTAACTTTCAATCTTGTTGAAAACAAAGTTTAATGCAAAAGAGAACTATAGTCTTCTTGCTTCTCCAAGCACAGCAGGTAAAGAGTGAGGGATTTGGGGTAGAAGTTCAAGGTGGGTGCGCCTTTCTGTTCCTCCCTATCTTGGTTACACATCACAAGTCACTCGATTCTCTTCTTTGGTGACTTGGTTTTCTCATCTACAAAATGGGGCTAATCGTAGTAGTAAAGATTTTTCTGGCATTAAGATAATGCATGAGAAAGTCCTCAAAATCCAACTAGCAAACATTGCTAAAGTGCCTAAAGAGACACATTCCACAGTAAAGAATGATCAGGTGATTCTTAAATCTGGAGGGAAAAAAAAATGATTATGAAAACACTTACTGAGAATTCCCCCTCCTGGACCTTTTACTTGGGGCTTCAAACTAACTAAACACAATGGAATATGCTTACTCTTAAAGTTTCTTCCACATCAATTCTTTTGATAAAGTAACTGATTCTCAACTCAGAATGTGCTGGTGACCCCTTCTGGCTAGGGGTGGTATGACATGTGTGCTCCACACAGCCAAAGGGTGGGGGGTCTGGAACCCCTGAATGGGGAACCTGGGAAAACTGGACAGGAGAAATATCATCTGACCCGAATCCTCACTGTTCAAAGCGTGGTTCTCTGGCCAGCAGCACTTTCAGACTGCATTTTAATAATACCATCCAGGCAATTTTTAGTGTGCATTGGAGTTAGGTTCTGGAAGATTTAATCTAGTGACAAGGGGAAACCTAAAAGTAGGAAGCTACTTAAAGACTTTTTTAAAAGTAGGTATAATAACTCACAGAAAGCGTATCACTCCTGCGATGTGGTTCAAGCCCATTGCCACAACAATGAGTAAGCTGTGTCCCCTCCCCTAACCCCACTAACTCTGCTTTTCTTAATTGTTTTTCTTCAGTTTCCCCCTTATCCCGTGAAAGGGATTTTTCCTTAAGGGATTATTTGTACAATTTCATAATGAAATAATCCAAGAAGACAGGATTTCCCTTTAAAAAAACATTTGTTTTAAAGCCTTATATTGTGAATTACTATCTAAGAGTAACTTGGTTGCAGGGAATAGAAAGGGATTCTGGCAAATGTAAGAAAATTAATGAAGGAGTGAATGAGAGAGTGAGTGAGTGAATGAAACATATTGCATGGATATGGTGGCACTGATAGAATCAGAAGCCTTAGAAAGAGGAAATAGGTGCACACCAGGAAGATGGTGTTTGGGACAGACCCGTGTCAATTGCTTTGAGCACAGCTTGTGTCACTGGTCAATAAACAAAAATCTCCCATCAGAGTCTGCTTGGTCTATTTTGATTCATGCCTGGCCCTGGGAGAAGGAAGGACAGAACTTCTTGATTTAAGACCCGGGAAAAGTGTAACTGATGAGGAAGGCTGGATTCAGCAGCTATTACATCAGCTTCCACTCTGATTGGTCCAGTTAATCCATGTCATTCCAGTTGTTAATGTATTTTGACTATCATCCTTGGAGAGGTGTAGGTCCCCAAAAGAAAACTGAGGTGTTTTAGTTGAAAAAGCAGGTATGGATAATAGACAGGTAAACCCCACCATGTTCTCCACTTAGCTCTCTGCACTACTGTGAAATCGACATGCACCAAGGTGTTGATTGATGACGATATTGATATCATATCTATCTAGAACCCAAGTACCTATTACTCCAATAAGTATCTATCCATTTTTAACCATTAATGCATATTATTGTAGGAATAATCTTGAAGATCTTTGGTTCTTCGAGGCAGATCTTTCTACCCATCATCAGATTAAAACAGAAATTGAAAGCAGGAAGGGCCCTCTGTCTGGTGACCACCTCCCTCCCTTCTCTAACCTTCTAACTATTCATGAGAGATGTTATGCAAATGGCGGGGTGGTGGGGTGGTGGTGGCTTTTTTTCTTTTTTTTTAAACAAGAGAAAAGAAGAAAGATGTGAAGCTTTGAAAAATATGCTCTGTCACCAGAGCTCCTTCACGGTTCTTTAGGAAAACATTGTGGAGGAATAAATAGCAGCCGTCTCATAGCAACATTCAGTGAACAATGCTCAGAGCTGAGAGATGCTCTTCAGCTAGAAATCCGTGCCTACAAAAGGATGCCATCCGCAGAGTTACTCACCGCCAATTACAGATAACGAAGTCAGTCCATAGCCACTGGAAATGAGACGCAACCATTTCTGCTTCTTTGGAATTTTGCAAAGACTGACCTATGTCTTTGCAATACTGACATGCAAGGACTTGTATGCTTTGGAGAGAACTTGGGGGCATACTGGTAACCTTCCAGAGACTTGTCTGGGAGAAAGCATCTTCTTTTATGTTCTGTGCAGTGGTCATAGTCTACAAAAAAATAATTAGTAATAGTAATAATACAGCAGCAGGGAAATGATACTGTGTAACCCCCCCAACACACACACACACACACACCCTCTATAAGAGTGGACCAGGCCAGGACTAAACTCCAATCTACCCCTGGGACTCCCCTCCTAGGCAGTTAAGTTGCTGGTTTCTGCACAGTCTCTCCAGCAGCATCCTGGTCACCTCCACTGTGAACTCTAAGAGTAGAAAAAGGGGTTCCCCAAAACGTGACCAGGAAGCCGCCTCCTCTGTGTGCAATAGCTCTGCACTGGCAAACTTCCTTAGAATGTTCTTCTCTGCTCTCTTCCACAGACATGGGAACTGGCCCAGGAAACACATCCTTGAATAGGAAGCCAGTCTAGTAACAAAAAAAGGATCCCAGAGTTTATCTTTCAAATACCCAATCCTTGACGAGGCCTCCTTCCACCGTCTGTCCTTTCTTTGTCTGAACAGAGCGGTGGTGGCCGTGCCCAGTGCCATCCACCACCTTGTCCCTTTCTCTAGGGCATTGTCATTGCTGAATGCTGAGATGGAGGCTTAGCAGCCGCCCGCAGGGATCAACATGATCCTGCACGATTAAATTAAGATTGGAAATTATCTTGACAGTTTGGAATAATGGATGAAATCGAACATTTGAAATTTAATCAGGATAAATGTAAAGTCTGGCCCGCAGTTCGGAATACCAAGCGCACCAAAATAGCTGATCACACGAAAAGGCCTTGGACGTTTGGCTTACTGCAATCCCCATCTGGGCCAACGGATTCAGCTGATGCATTGGCTCCCCCACCCCCACGCAAGGCCAGCGCCACGGAGGCCTTGCAGGATAAAGTGGTCAAAGCAAGAGAAGAAAGCCCTGCACTTTCCCGGGCTCCGGCCATACCTGTGTGGTGAGCGTGACTCAAGTGACAGTGTTGTGCACTGTCCCCGACCCAGCAGGTTCACTGTCCATTCCGGCACACTTGGCCTCCTCAATGGATTTGACGGGCCTTTTAATGCTGAAGCAGGGAACCAGGCACAACATGCAGACCAGTGGGCTGGCAGGAAAGGCAGGGAGGGGGTACTGGACACTTGGGAGGCAATAACCAAGCCTCTCAGTCCCCAAGATCTCCACATTCGCTCTCTTCTCTCTGGCATTCTCTCTCTGTCTCCCTCTCCCCTCGCCCTGCAAGACCTCTCCCTGGTGTCCACACTTACAGGTATGCACTCCCTGTGTGCCCAGCCTCTCAGGGCAGGTGTCCGCAATGAGAGGCATGCGGACCCCATGCTCACACAGGAAGTGTCCCTGAGCTCCATGTTCATGCTCCCACGTACCTCTTGCACCAACGCGATGTCACGTGTGGGCAATGAAACCTGGGAGGAAAGCAAGGCTCCAAGTGACAGCCGTAGAGACTGTGGATGAGAAAGCAGAAAAACCCCGAGTCAACTCCATTTTCCCTACAGATAGGAAAGAGGCAGGCTGGCCAGGAGAGAAAGGCAGAGTGTAGTCAGGCTGCAGGGCAGGAAGACCTTGCAAAGAACTTAGCCTGGACATGCAAAGTGAGTGTGACCATGATGGAGTGACTGTGATGCAGAATCCCACCCATCCAGATCAGGTGGTAAAATAAAGAAGTTAAGAAAGAATCACATAAGAACATGGAAGAGTTGATGGAATGAAAACGCCAGATGGCAAGACATTAAGAGATCTTGAGCTAAAAGGAGCGCAATCAAGCAAACAAGGGGGACGTGCACCACGTGAGCGGAGTTGTGAATCAAGTGGGGCTGGGAGTGGGGTGAACTCGGGTGAGTAAGACCCAGGAGACAGGGGCATAATTGTTACATCCCAAGGCACGGGCTTGGGGCCGCTGTTAGGATGATGTAGGGTAAGGTAAAAGGTATCAGGCTTTTCTGCCCTCCCGCCATCAGGATAGATGAGGGAACCCTGTGATCCTGAATGCATGCCTGATGGCGGGCACCTGAAGTGGGTATACCTGCACTAAGACTGTACTTTTAAGGGCGGTGTCACAGGGACGCCAGAAGCCAAGAAGCCGAAGCAGAAGCCGAAAGAGAAGCCGAGAAGCAGCAGAACAAACGCCAGAGAGCCCAGATAGAGTGAAGACTTGCTGGGGGCTGGGAGGCCTGCCAGCCTGCCAGCCCCCAGCCAGCACCCCTGCCTTGCCATATGCTTGGTGAACCCCAATAAAAGACCTGCAAAAAAACCACCTAGGACTCTGACTCCTCCTTTACCCAGTCTGCATGGGATCAGAGAACCTGCACTGTGTCCATTCCTGCCACTACAGATGACAACTAAAAGGGTACTGTAAATTCTCTGGAAGTTCAAGCATTTGCCTAGAATACATGCAACCCAGATTCCTGTCTTGGCATTATCTGTCTCCACACAAGATCATTACCAGCAGGTAACCAGCCCAGTTTTGTTGGGAGGGCAAAGCTATTTCCTTCAGCCTAAGTTGGAACAAAAACCAACACTATATATTGAACTGTAACATACACAGAAACTTGCACCATTAGAATCTGTACTAACTAGATTTTGGAGCATTCCTGGAAAAGCTTTGCTTCTTAGTTCAGAAAATCAACTCCAGTAACTTTGTAAATTCACTTAAAATTGCTTAACACTAAATTCATAAGCATGTCTGGTTGTTTAAGGTAATTGAATTTGCTCAAATGGAACTGATAAAAACTTACACATGGGTCCCTTTCAAATGGTCATTAAAATGCACTACTAGGGCGCCTCTGATTCAGCCAGAGTGAGTCAGAGAGGACTTCCTGGAGGAGGCAGCATCAGAGTTGGAGCCGTTGATGGATTTCTACATGAGAAAGGAAAGCGAGGGCATGCCACAGAGAGGAAGGAGCTGGAGGAAAGACCGCAATGCATAGAAACCTTAAGATGTTACAATTATAGCATATTATGATAAGGGGATAGAGAAGTAGGGTATGAATTTGGAGATGGAGTGGGTCTCAGAGGAATCTCTACCCTACTTGAGTTTAATCCTGCAGGCACTGAGGTTGGCGTGTGCAGAGAGGTTCCTAAAGATGATGGATTCACCAATCCATGTTCTTGTCAGTTGCTTTCCCGTGGGTGCTCGTTTACTCTCAAAAACACGTGCACACAACTGGAGAGTGTGAGAGCTCGAAGAACCCGTCTCTGCTCCAACTCACTGGCCATGATGATGAAATGGCCTCAGAGAGAAGTCACTAAACTAGCGGAGCTGGGATCAGAACCAGGTCTCTGGATTCCTTTTCCAAATTGCCTCCCTAAGTAGGCATGGCATGACTACAGCTGGGGGCGGAGGCACCTCTCACTGTGTTCCACCAGGACACATAATCTGGGGGTCACCCATCTCTATGAAATACCTTGAATGGAGCCCACTGGAGTGGTGCAGTGGCCTGTGCCAAAGGTATTATTCAAGCCCTCTCAGGCAGAACTGCAAGAGGCGTTTGTAAGAGACTGGCCGGGGTGGGTGGCATAGGCTGGACAGGAAAGACGCTGTCTCGATGCAGCCAAGTGAGCACATGGAGCAACCCCAAGGTCCTGGCCAGATGAACTCTATGGAAGCCCTTCCTGCCATCACGAGGAGGAGTCATTGCTCTGAGAGGGCTGTGACCAGCAAGGCCCTCCCATTTGCCAAAGCAAAGTCCCCTAGTGGTTCCTGCCGCCATTTTTCATGCTGCAGGCAACTGCTTTTTCCCCAATTCTCAAGTTGGCTTTGGAGGAACTGAACACAGCAGTCAGCTTCTGAGGCCTCACTGTTGCCATGGGTTACATGCCCTCAAAAACAAAGGATGGGGCCTCTCCCATGGCGCAGCGGTTGAGCGCTGGGCTGCGAAGCTGCCTGCAGCCTCTGCAGCGCCGGTTCGATCCCCGGCTGCTCCCCAGCCACCAGAGGAGGGTCCCACATGGCGCGCAGACCTCTCCTGCCGCCCGCTGCTCCCCTCAGCGGTGTACTTCGGTCCTTCTGCCTGCTCTGCTCCCCGCTCTGGCTCTGGTGAATTCTCTCACCCTCCCGCGCTTCTGACTGTGCCCAGTGCTTGTATAAATAAATAAAAATAAATCTTCAAAAAAAAAAAAAAAGAAAATATTAAAAAAAAAAAAACAAAGGATGAACCAAAACAGGTTCAGCCCTCAAGTGCGAAGCTAATAAAAGTGTAACAGCACCTTAAAAGAAATCAGGTGGCATCGTGACAGGGCAGGGTGGTTGCTGCCTGGACCCTGCAAGAAAAATGAAAAGTTTCATGTGGACAAATAATTTTTTAAAAGATTTTTTTTAAAGATTTATTTATTTATGCATACAAGAGCTGGGGTAAAGGCCAGAGAAGCGGGGAGAGTGTGTGTGAAAGGATTCACCAGAGACAGAGTGGGGAACAGAACAGGCAGACTGACTGAAATACACTGCTCAGGGGAGCAGCGGGCAAGACAAGAGAGGTCTGCCTCGCCATGTGGGTTGCTCTCTGGCTGGCCGGGGATTGAACTCATGCTGCAGAGGCTGTGGATTGCTTCATAGTGCGGTGCTTAACCCCTTGTGCCACCAGGGAGGCCCCTAAAGATTTATTTTATTTATTTTATGCATATAAGAACTGGGGTGTAGGCTGGAGGTGGGGGTTAGGGGGACAGTGGTGAGAGGATTCACCAGAGACAGAGTGGGGAGCAGGAGGGGAGGATCTACTGAAATACACTGCTGAGGGGAGCAGCGGGGAGACAGGAGAGGTCTGCTGTGCCATGTGGGTCAGCTCCCTGGGCAGGAATCAACTCAGGCCACAGTGGCTGGAGATATCTTGCTAGGCTCAGACTTTAACCCCTGTGCCACCAGGGAAGCCCAAATATTAATTTTAAAAAGAGAAAGAAATTATCCTTGTGCAAGATATCAGCTAGGTAATTTTGCAAACATTCTCTCTCTTTCAAACACTTTCATTGAATAGAGGTAGGAGAGGGAAGGAAAAACAGCATCAAATAAATAAGTAAATTTCCTATAATTCCAGAATATCACAGTTTGAAATTATGAATCCTGTGCATCATCATTTATTCAAAAATTCAAGAAACATCTAGTATAAAAATGCAAATTTTCAAATAATTACCAGGAAACAATAAAACAAATGGACAGTCTTTAATGCATTTCCTATTGAAATAACATTGGTATGGGCCTCCCTGGTGGTGCAAGGGGTTAAGATGCAACATATGAAGCTATCTGCAGCCACTGCAGCACAAGTTTGATCCCTGGCCAGGGAGCAACTCACCTGGCACAGCAGACCTCTCCTGTCTCCCCTGCTGCTCCCCTCAACAGTGTATTTCAGTCGATCCACCTGTTCTGCTCCCCACTCTGTCTCTGGTGAATCCTCTCAACCCCTGTACCTCTGGCCTACACCCCAGTTCTTCTATGCATAAATAAATAAAATAGATGTTTAAAAAAAGAAAGAACATTGGTTTACAAATGTTCTTTTTTAAAACTTATTTTTATTGAGAAAAATTGACATTTACTATTGTATAACTTTAAGGTGCACAATGTGTTGATTTGATACATTTATGTATTGTCATATGATTGCAGCAGTTACCTAACACCTCCAGAACCTCATGTAATTCTTATTTCCTTTTGTGGTGGGACAATGACACTCTAGTCTCTTAGCAACTGCGAAGTTTAAAAGTACAGAATCATTGTCTGTAATCACTATGCTGTGATTAGATCACCAGGATTTGTTTATTTAGCTATAAGTTTGTAAGAAAAAATTCTTGAGCTTTTATGAGATTATAGATACAAATAAAATTTAAAACCACATAAAAATGGGCAATTATCTCCCATAAAGATTACACTTAAAGCCCACAAAAAATTGATAATACTTTAACATCCCAATAATACGATGAACAATTCCAAGAAGACAAACAATTGGCTAATAATCATGAAAGTGTTCACTCTTGCTAGTAATCAAAGGGAAGCAAATTAAAACTGCTGTGAAAGTTAAAAAAAAAATTAAATTGAGGCAAATTTTTAAAGCTGTTCATTGCAATTCAAGTCCACAAAGTTTTGCTTTTTAATGGAAGTCATACATAGCTGATGGGAACATACATAGGGGAGAAACTTTCTGGAAAGCAACTTGCAAAATACATCAACAGTCTAAAAATGTTCCACTCTCCAACCTAGAAATTCCAATTCTAAAGAAATTAGCAGACCGATTTATGTGGAAGGATGGCCATATGTTCACTACTCATAATGGTAAAATAACTGAAGCAGCTTAAAATATGCAAATAAACTATAGTACAACCATGAAAAAATGTATTGTAAGCATAAAATGCACACTGGATTTCCAAGACTTAATATGAAAAAGAATGTAAAATACACTAATGTCTTAGATTGAGTTCATGTAGTAGTCAATATAATGGGTCAAATATTGAGTCCTATAAAATATATATCATTATATACTGGATTACATTTTAAAATATTATAAAAATTAATTTTATAGTTTCCTTTACTTTTTTATGTGGTTACTAGAAAAATTAAGATTATCTATGTTGCTAGCATTCATGACTCACATTTGTTGGTTATCTTTTATTTCTGTTGAAAAATACTGATAGAGAGCAGTGGGTACATCCTTGCAGAGACTTCTAATCCTTCTTTTACCCCACTCAGTTGCCCTCCTAAAATGAGCTCATGTTCTCCAATAGATGGGGCGAATGATAGTGAACAATTTTTGTAAAGCCTCGCTAAGTGTCAAGTTCTTTTCCTCCTTACATCATATAATCCTTCTAACTATCCTAACGGTAGGTATCATGATAGGTACGGAGAGGCTAAGCTACCTGTCCAAGGTCACACAACTAGTAAGTAGAGAAACTAGGACTGAAAAGTACAAGTCTCCTAAGTCCTTCTGCTGTACCTTGCATAAGAAAATTGGGGAAATTAGGAAACCTTAATAGAAATCTCTTTGGGACAATTGATTGTATTTTCCCCATTCACACTGTTAGTGGGGAGATGCTGTTGAAGCTTAGAAGTTAGCAACAGACTCCTAAAATGTGGCCATCAGTGCTCTGGAGTGGTTATGTCCAACCCAAGTTTATATGTTAAAGCCTTAAATGCGAATGTGATGGTATCTGGGCACAGGATCTTTGGGAGGTGATAACATTGAGATGAGTTCACAAAGGTAGGACCCCCATGATGGGATTTATGTCCTTATAAGAAGAAACATTAGAGAGCAAGCTTGCACCCTTCCCCACCCCCACTGCCATATGAGAAGACAGCAAGAAGAGAACTGTGAGTCAAGAAAGGGACCCTCATGGAGAACCCAAACACACACCACGCCTCAGAATTGAGAGGAAAAACACTTCTGTTTATCCCACCCCAACCATGATATTTTGTTAAGCAAACTAAGATGCTGGAGTCCTGATTTGGTAACAGCAGTTGAAACAGTGTATCTCTGAGAACTTCTTACACATTAGAAGCCTATTGAAGAAGCTTCTAACCTTGGGAGATGTGAACCAGCAGGGAAGAAGCAAAGTAGGAATATAAACAGATTTCAAGGGACAGAGGACAAAGAAGTAATCCAGTTGAGAGGGGACAAGAATGGTGGGCTGATAACTGGTGAGTAGGAGGTCAGAGGCACATTGTATATGGAAAAAAAGGATCCCAGGTTTCAAGGAGGAAAATGTGTAAGGCCTGACGTCATAGATGCCAACACCATGGCATACCAGCTTGTGAGAAAAGAAAGAATTTTGTTGCTAGGTCAGTTGGCAAGAAGACAGGAAGCAAGGTCCAAATCTGTCTCTCTAATGTGAGATTGAAGATTAGTTTCATGGGGTAGAAGGAAGGGCTAGAAATGACTTGCTGGGGGGTCATTTATTTGTTCTTTTGAGTGTATTTAGTTTCATTGTGGACGACAAGTCTTGAAAGGGAAGTTAGATTTAAGTTGAATTACAATGACTATTGTGTATTTTTTAAATATTTATTTATACAAGATCTGAGGTACAGTCACAGGAGCGGGAGGGTGAGAGAATTCACCAGAGACAGAGCGGGGAACAGAACAGGCAGACGGACCGAAGTACACTGCTGAGGGGAGCAGCGGGCGGCAGGAGAGGTCTGCTGCACCATGCGGGTTTCTCACTGGCCGGCTGGGAATCGAGCCCGCGGCTGCAGGGACTGTGGACAGCTTCACAGCTCAACCCGCTGCGCCACAGGGGAGGCCCTGGCTGTTGTGTATTCTAATGGTCTGAGAGCACATTGTCATAGATTACCATGTGATCCAAAAAACAACAAATATCGGGATAACTAGAAAATAAAAATTTGCTTGTGGACATGGTGACACTTCCAAATGTGTTAAACTGTGGAATCAGACCACGGTACCTCTACCAGTGGCAAAGCTGGCTGCTTGTTGATTACTAGAAAAAATATCTAAGTGCCCAATATGGCATATTATTCATTTTTTATATATTTTAAGGTGGTTTGCAATGTTATCCCAATAACGACCAAGTCTATTCTCATTTCACCACAGAGTCATTGGACCTCTTTGAGTTTGAGTTACCTTCTATTTGTAAAATTATTATGACTAAGGGATTTTCCAAAGATGACCTCAGCAGTATCTCCCATTCCATGTGCTCTTCTTAAATGAGACTTTAACTATTTCTCATCAACAGAGGAACTTGAATCTCACTGAGAATTGCGGAGACATAATGTGAGTCCAAGTCTAAAAATGGCAATATGGTTTCCACCTGGCTCCCTCTCCTCAGACATTTACCCTTGGGCCTTGCCATGCTGTGAGAAAGCCCAGATCCCATGAAGAGACCTCACCGAGATATCCCACTGACACCCCCCGCAACCAGCATCAGCTGCCAGGCAAGGGCAGGATGAGTCTTTGGATGGTTCTGACTCCTGCCATTGAGTCTTCCTAGGACTGAGTCTTCCCAGCTGTGGTCCAGTAATGTGAGCATTAGTATGTGGAGAGGTCCGGAGGCTGGAAAGAGTGTGCCCAGGCACGTGTAAATCAGCCAAGTATGGGAACCAACATGCCTCAACATCTTCATGACATACGACACGTTTCCCCTTCTGGTGGGACTGAGAGGGGCTGGGAGAGTCCTCCAGAACTGAGCCTTGGATTCGGAGAAATGCATGTAAACCTCAACATGCCCACATGCTCCCATCCGCCCTCTTTCTTTTGTTTATTTCTGAATAAACCCATTTTTTTGCTGGAATAACCGACTGCTTTTGTTTGGGATCCACAATGATAAATAACATG